GGAAGGACAGAGAGTGAGAGCAAGCCAGGCCAGACTCCTCAGGCAGTGGGAGGCAGGAGCTGACAATGCTCAAAACAGGCCACCAGGAAGTGGGTCTGGAATGTCCACTTTGGGGACTATGGGGCTATGTGCACTTTGGCCAGCAACCCCTTGCTAGGTCTATTCAAGGGTCTTGAGGAGGACCCTATTCAAGGGTTCAGCTCGGAGATGCTGGGTGTGGCTGGAGGACACACAAATGGGTCATGGCAAACCAGAGCACCACATTGTCCTTCAGAGTACAAGACCCCTATGGCCTCTAGAAGCAGGTGGCCTGTCCTGTCCCTCACCTGCAGGATTCTAGTCCTGAGGAGCGGTGAGGAGAGTGCAGAGTGAGAACTGAAGACCCCCAGATTAATATGCAAACTGAGCAGGGCCAGGCTTTTGGTGGGACCCAACCAGTGGCTCCTGCCTCACTTGCCCCCACTCCAAAACTACCAGCACCCCTAGCATTGTCACTCGGGACTAAGGGCCTCCAAAGTCTCTGTGGGCCATTGCCCTGAGACCTCCTGCCTTAGCCCCTTGGCCTGTACTTCCTGACCTCAGGGCTGCAGATGTCTGATCAGGGTTCTCCCAGCATACTCTGTGCCCCAGGGCTGGGTCCCTCCTCCCCTCACTCTCCACTGGCTGGAAATGTACTGAGCACCTGCCCCTGTGTCAGGCAGGATGGTGAACCTCACACTGAGCCTTCCAGGCCCAATTGCCCATTCGCTTTTTACAGACTAAGAGAGGTGGAGGCCCCTGTGGAGGGAGCAGAGAGGATTTGAACTGGGCTGGACGTGTGCTCTGCACCTGAACTGGCCATTAAGGAGAGTGTGCTTGGCCTGGCCAGCTTACCTGTCTGCAGGTAAGGAGAGCCAGGTGTTCTTCATATGTGTGCACCACTTCCTGCTCTGAGGAAAGCTAGGGGTTGCTTTCTGACTCCGGTGTGGCCCGAGGGTCTAGGCTGAGGATGGAAGATTCCTTCTGCAGCCCAGGGCCCTGGCCTGTCTATGCCTGCAACCAGTCCCTTTAGGGACTTCAGGAAGATAGGGAGAGAGCAGGGCAGAGGGAGAGGGAAGAAGACAGAGGATCAAGAGACTGAGGTGGGGGAGAGCTTGATGGGGAGGTAGAGGGAAGGGATAAAGACACCAGGGGAGGAGAGGGAAAGAGAGAGCACAGGAGGCAGAGAGTGGGGAGAGACACCAGGAAAGAGGAGTCAAGTTCAGAGAGTGGAAGGAGTACATCCTGAGAAGAGATGGCCAGCAGGGTCAAGTTGAGCCTGAAAAAGCCTGGCCTAGAAGGGGCCCCACTTCCAGAGAATGGGGCTCAGGGTGTGGGAGTGGAAAGATGAGGAATGGAAGGGGAGGTTGATTTTGCCAGCCACTGTCCAACCCAAGGCACCAGCTGTGAAAGGAGGGAGGGTGGGGGGATGTGTGAGTGAGTTAGGTCGTGTGTGTCGTGAGTGTTTTGGGTGTGAGTGGGTGTGAGTGTGTGTGTCAGGCCTAGGCAGGTGTAGGCAGCAGAGCAGAGTGTCCTTTCTCTCTCTCTCTCTCTTTCTCCTGGGTCCACATACCCTCCCCATCTGCTGCAAGATTAATTCATATTTAATACAGCCCGTGCTGGCAGGCTGGGGGCGGTGCAGCAGGTAAGGAAGAATTGGTCGATGGATTGAATGTTTTTATCCATCAATACCCTACCCACCAAGTGTGTGCCAGGCTGTACCTGGAATGCCCAATGAACCCAACAAACACCCAGGTCCTGAATGTGAATGCTGCTCCAAAAAGTAACATATTCTGTGGGTTTGGACAAGTCTTTTGTCTCTTGGTAATCTGTTTTCTGTCATAAAATGAGGTGGTGATTCCTGCTCCCTGGAGTTGGTGAAGTGTGTGGCAGGTCCCAGCTCTGCTAGAGAAATGAGGGTTCTCTGATGCACTGTGACCTCCAACCCACTGTTGGTGACTCTTACTGATGACCCTGGGCATCCTAAGGCTGCCAACTCAGTCCGACCCTGAGGGTGGCCACAACTGTGCTGTCTGCTGCAGCACCAGGGAACATGGGCCCTGCCCAGCCCTGGTAGCTGTGGAATGAGCATGGGGAGGCGGTGCCCACCCAGAGACGCCCAAACCTACCCTGCTTCCCAGGCCTGGAATATTCAGGGCCTTCTAAGATTATTTCTGCTGTTCACCAGGTCTCAGCTCAGATGCCTCTCCCTCCAGAAAGTCTTCTGTGTTCCCTGGGATGGGTGCAGTCCTGTCCCCAGCTCTCAGTCTCTTCTGTGGGTCTCACAGTCCTCATGCCACCCCCCCACCCCTTCACTCTTCATACATCAAATCTCCTTTTCTTTCCACCACTGGCCCTTGGAGACAGGCCACCTGGAGGTCAAGGCCATGTTGGATTAGCACAGGACCTGGCACACAGAAGGGCCATTGCTGGAGGGGCTGGGGTATTCACCAGTTCATGGGCTGTGTCTGATCGTTTTTATCTGGTGCTGCTGCTTGGAGGATCCCAAACCACTTCCTTGGATATCATATCCTGTTTGGAAAGGACACCAGGACCTTGCCTCACACAGGAGGGTCAGGGGTTTGGGGGGGGGGTGGCAGGCAGGGAGACAGGGTGAGGACTTAGCAGAGGAGACCATGCACTGCCCTGGTGTCCAGAGCCAGATCTTTCTCCTCTTGGAGCAGTTTCCTCAGCTGTAAACCACCAGGCTAACTTTCGCAGTGGTGTGCAGGAAGGGCATAGGCTTTGGCCTTAGGCTATATGGTGGGGTGTGTGTGGGGGGGAGTGGTAGGAGGAGCTCTAGAAAAGTCTCTCAATGGCAGCCCTAACCCATTCCTTGGTCCCGCCCCCACACAATGGTATGTAAAGTGCTTTGCGATGAGATTTCAAGACATGCCCACCCCTGCAATCTAATCACCCCACCCACCAAAGCCCGCCTGGGTGGGAATTCTGGATCCCAGTCCTACAGTGGGCAGCCCCGAGCTTGGCTGCTAGTTCTACCCTCCAAGCCTCAAACAGGGAACCAAATAACCAGAGTGGGCCATCGTCTCCCCTAAGCACCCCTTCAGGCAGGGGGTGGCCCACTCATCACCAAGGCCACCCCCGCCTCCCCATTTCCTTCCCTCAAATAGGATTCAGCTCTGAGCGGCCCCCTCCTTTACTCTCCTCCGGGACGTGACATTCACCAGCATCACTTCTGGTCCCATCTGCGGAGCGCCCCGCCCCCGGCAGCTAATCCCCACAAAAGCCGCGCGCAGGGCCAGCATGACAAGCAGCCCCGCGCCGCCTGCAGCTCCGCCGAGCGTGCTCCGAGGGGCCGGGGCGGGATTCGGCGCGGCTGTCACTCTCGCCGTCCGCGCCTCTAATTGGATTCCCAACACGCAGAGGTCAGCAGAAACGCTGCAGAGAGGAGAATCAAAGGGAAGGGGCGTCCGGAGATAAAGAGAGGCATTCTTCCCGGGCCACAAAGACTGCGGCGTGCGCGGGGCGGAGGGGACCCCGCCAGGGGCTGCCCATCTGGAGGGGGAAGGGAACGAAAGGCAGAGCCTGCTTCTTCTGCACCTCCGCTCTGGGTCCTGGATCCCGCACCATCCTCGCCTTTTGGGTCTGGCGGCCTTCAAGGCCTGCTGTAGGGAGCATCCTGGGAGTGCGGGTGGGAGAAGGCTCAGCCTGAAGGGGTCCCAATCCTAGCTTGCCACCTGCTTCCTTAAGATGCAGCGAGGCCTGGAAGTTCCGTGGCCTCAGTTTTCTCTTTGGTAGAAAGGGGACAACAGCAGCTGCCCCACGGGGTGGTGGGCAGAATGAAACAAGCTATCAGCAGAGTGCTGGGAGCAGAGGGGCCTCAGTCGGGGAGCGGTTCCTGTGCATCACTGCCTGCGCACACATCCCAGGGCTCACCACTGCCTGCCAGCGCAGATGCAAAAAAATACTGATCTGCAGAAGGCAAAAAGTACTCCATGAACTCCATACCCAATGGAGGGCAAAAGACCATCCCCAGTGTGGACAGGGGCTTTGCTGTCATCCTGTGCTTATTTGGCGGACAAGGAATCTGAGGCTTTGGGAAGTGTAGGGAGATGGCCAGAGCCATATGGCTAAAAAAAAAAAAAAAGCGAGCCTGGATGGGCAGGGAGCCTGTCCCCAAACTGTACCCCCACCACACTCCCCCAGGAGCCCTGTGTGCTTTCCTGTGAATGCTAAGCAGATTCAGTGTGTACGTGCACGCATGCACAACTGGCGGGGGCGGTGGGCGGCAGGGACCAAGCCACGCTGCAAAACAGGCCCTATTTGCTTTCTGAACGTTGGATCTGCTGACTTTGGTTCATGAAAGAGACAAGAAGAGAACCTCAAAGGGAATTTCTAAGAGACAGAAAATCAATGGCCCTGACATCCTGGCCCCCAGAAAGTGTCATGTGCGCGCACACACACACTCTCCACTGGTTGATGCGGCCTGTGCTCGCACAGTCACAAATACCCATTTTCAAGTGCGTGTATATCTGGCTTGTGCCCAGGAATATGGATATGCATGTACCCGGGAATATGGATAGTCTGGCTAATCTTTGCACCCATGCAAACACATACCCACGTGACTTTGTGAACGTGCTCACACAGTGTCACGCACAAACACACACAAGACATAGATGCCCCTCTTACCACCCTGGATGGACATACACACACCTGTTTGGTGCAGCACACAGGTTCCTATCCATGCACTTGTCTGCTGCTCTAGCACACATGAGTGTGCTCCTCCCTGCATGTAGATGCTCAGGGGTAGGTCAGGCAGACACAAGAGTACACAATACAAGAGTAGTAGTGACTCACGGAGGGCTCCAGGGTGACCTGCACCCCTGAAATGTACCGACATCATCCCGAGATGTTCCAGCACGCAGAGGGTGGGTCAGCTGGAACACATGTGCACACACAGGCACACAGATGCACTCCCAGCAGGCCTGCACTCACGCATGCGTAGGGGGATGGCGTGCACTGACCCAGCACACGCGTGCCTATCCTGCCAGTGTCTCTAGGGAGCTCCCAACCAACAGCCGGCTCTGACAGCAGGGTGGGGGAGGGCAGACAGGACCTGGGTTGCCAGGGATACGGATGTGGGGCTCCCAAAGCTCCCCACCTGCCCAGGCAGCACAAAAAGGCCAGCAGCCACTCTTAGGTCTTTAAAATGGCGCTAATCCGGCGATGGCCTTAAAGGAGGCCACTGGAAACATGAGTCTGGCTTCCCAGAAGGAGCCAGAGGACCCTGATGTACCAGTTGAGGCCTGCAAAACCCCTGGGACCAGAATCATTTCTAAGACTGACATGAGGCCCTGGGCTCAGAATTTGCTGGGGACACAGGGACAGAAAAAGCTCTTCCTGACCTCCAACCCCTATCTAGGCCATACCTCATGCTCCATCAAACAATATGTGTTCAGAAACAGCCACTTACTTGCTGTGTGGACTAGAACAAGTCACTTGCTCTCTCTGAGCCCATTACCTCATCTACAAAAGGGGCTGGTAAAAAGACTCTGACACCTATTTATTTTTATTTATTTATTTAGACAAGGTCTTACCATGTAGCCCAGGCTGGCCCTTGAACTCACAACCCTTTTACCTCCTGCTGGGATTATAGGCCTGTACCACCATACCTGACAATCCTAATCACTTAAACAGCAAATTATAGGCTACGATCATCTATCACTGACTGATCACAAGCCTCATGCCAGGGGCTGTGCCAAACGCTTTCCTTCTGTCATTTCCTCAGGTCCTTACACCTTGCCCATAACTTTCCATTTATTATTATACCCATTTTACAGATGAAGACATTGAGGCTCTGGGAAGTAAGGTACTTGCCCAGGGCCACATAGGTTGTAAGCGTTGAATCCAGTATGTGAATCCAGGAGGCTGGCTCTTCCTTACTTGATAAACCTTCCTACTCATAGGTATCTGGAGTATGGCAGGTAATGTGGAACCATTATCCTTAGGTGGTCAAGGTTGCCCCGGTGGCCTCTTGAGGATCCTTGACCACAACCATACGACAGAATCAGGCTGATGGTGTCTAAGAGCTTCTGCATACAGGAAATCTGAGCTCCAAGGAAGGAGGTGGGAAGCAGAGTTCACTGCCAGGGTCTCAGGGAAAGTGGTGCAAAAACCCAGTTTTTCCTAGGCACTTAAACATTGTGAGATATTCTTGGGCTGCTCAATAAAACACCCTGGCTGGTGAAAACAATGTCATTCCACAAGCATATATTAGGCACCTGCTGTGTGCCCAAAGTGGCACACTACCCTGTTCTTTAGCCCTGGGCTGCGCCTCCTTGGGAACATACCTTCCTGGAGCCGGACCCTTCCCCACCCTCTCCTGTCTTCTGAGTCTCCTAACAGCTGTAAAGCTCCCTCAAACCTTCAGAAGCTAGCCTACTGGACCCATTTAACAACAGGGAAACTGAGGCTCAGGACAGGGCCCTGTCCAAATGGATGGCATTTGGCAGAGCAGGGGCCCCTCCCTACTGCTCTGTGTCTGCACAGACCCAGGCACACAGTGGACTCCCCAGCTCCTGGTGATGGAAACAGGTTCCACAGCAGGGGCTGCATCGCAAGGATCTGAACACCATCTGGCGGGGGCAGAGAAGCAGGCAGGGGGCTGAAGTCACATCTGTCATGTGAAAGATGCTTTCGGAAGCCTCCAGGTCCAAGAAGGAGTTGAGATCTTATGGGAAACCCTGAGTATCAGCGACAGGGACCCTCCACCAACACCTAAGAAGCACCTGTCTCCACCTCAGATGGTTCTGCTGGGCATCCTGGCTGTGCTGGTATCCCAGAAGCCCTCCAAGACAGCAGAAACCACCCTCAACTCTCTGGGGGCCTTGCTTAGGGGCATCCCTCCCATCAGGATTGCAAGGGCCCGAGGTCTGAGACTAGGGTGGGCAGGACTCTGCATTTTCTGTGAGGGATGATCCATCCCAGAACGTGGAGATACATTCTGGCTGGGAAGACAGGCAGCAGAGGAACACACTAGAACATACATAGTATGGCAGGTGATAACAGGATGGTGGAGAAACATCAAAGAACACTCCAGGCAGAAGAAACACCAGGGAGGCCAGTGTGCCAACGCAGGCGAGGCAAGGAGGAAGTGGAAGGAGCGAAGCCACAGAGGTGGGGGACAGAGCACCTAGGGCCTGTGGGCACTGCTAGGACCTTGGCCTTTGCTCCATGTGGGCTGGGGGAGCCTTGGAACGGGGAGAGGCAAGTGCTCCAGAGAGCCCTCTGGCTGTGGTGGATGACAGACTGAGGGGTAAGTAGGGGCAGGGTATAGGCATCCAGCAGGCAGGTGGGTGGGATGAGGTCCAGGCTAGAGAGAAGGACTTTGCCGCCATGGGACTGGACGTCATCACCCAGGGAGAGGGGAGAGGAAGGAGGTCAAGGGCTTGGCCCTGGACCTTTCAAGGTGCAGAGGTGGGATATAAGCAGGAGCAGGCCAGGAAGGACTCAGAGAGGCAGGAGGAACCCAGGTGAGAGTGTGGTCCTGGAGGGGGTGTGGTCACCTTGCTAAAGGTCACTAGCAGGCCAGGGAAGTGCCCACAGGATTGTCATCATGGATGTCCCTCAGAGCCCTAATGATGACCTCCAGTTTCCCACACAAAGGGTCAGGAGGGGTGAGGTACAGAACCAATAGTGTGGGGGCCATGAAGGCAGAGCCCAGGCTTCAGAATGGAACCCACCCAGTGCCCCCATCCTAGCCCCAGCTCTGAACCTCCCCAGCAGGCAGCTCACCAACCCTGCTAAGCCTTAATTTCCTCCTGAAGAACGGGGATGGAACTCCTTATCTCCCAGGGCTATTGGGAATCAAATGAGACAGCAAGTGTGATAAAAATGACTAATGGTGAAACTACCAATAGTCCAGTGGGCCAAGTACAGGTTTTGGATTTCATTTCTGGCTCCATCATCCATTAGCTGTGTGACTTTGGGCTGGTTATTTAACTTCTCTGAGCCCCACTTCCTCTTCTGTATTAATGGTAAACTGGCTTCTGGGGATTATAAGGATCAGGAAAGTATTAGATGCCAGGCCTGGGCACAGGACCTGGTGCGCGGTGAGCGCTCAATCAATACGTGCTTCCTTTCTCACGGGCTCCTGATTTCTGTGATTTACCATTAGAGTCTGGTGGGAGATACAGTGTCACAAGTGGGACCTTGAGATGGTGTGCTGGGTCCCTGAACAAGTCATTTCAATTTTTTTTTCTTTTCTGAGACAAGATCTCAGTGTGTAACCCAGGCTGGCCTTGAAGTTGAGATCCTCCTGCCTCAGTGTCCTGGGAAATACAGATATGTACGGCCACATCTGGCTCTACAAGTCATTTCATTTCACTTCTTTGGACCTCAGTGTTCACAGCCACACAGTTGGTGAGCTGTTGCCACAGACACCTTTGTCTGAGGGTGAGGATGGCAGATAACACATGGGCCAAGGTGGATGCAAGGAGAGATTCCTTGGCCTGCATGTTGAGGGATAGACACCTCACATGGTAGGAAACCCACTCCCCTGACTAACATAGCAACATCATCTGACCCGCACAGGCTCCAGGGGGAAAGACTAGGAAGGCTGTCAGAGAAGCAAAACAATGAGGGGAGGCGGCCCTCATGGTGACCCTGGGCTCCTGGCCA